TCACTAATTTATCAAATAAAATATTAAATTATTGAAACTAAACTCAATTCATTATTCAAACAATTTAAAGTTAAGCTCAATTCAATAATAAATGAGTTAAATTCAATTTTCTTTTGGATAAGATCGATTAATTTTTTCAATAATTTGATACGTTTACACTTTTAATTCCAACAATCTTAAAAGAGTGGTTGCCGCTTAGCGCAGAAGATTTCAGTGAATTGTTTTTATGCATGCTATGGTTTGTTTAGTTAAACAAAATTGAATATTATCTAGGTGTTTTATAAAATTAGGTGTGCTGAAATTAAACCAGCGATGGATTGAAGGAATCATCCTGAGGACTACTAAGAGAAAATTGCAAAGAAAATGAAACAATTGTGCAAAAATAGTGTTTTACGATTAGGTGTACAAAACTGGAATGGAATTAAATTTCAAATGATTTTCATCACCATCTTTATTCATGTAAGAAAAGATGGTTGGCATATGATTATGCCTCGCCAGAACCATACTTCTTTCCTAATACAATCATCTGGAGCTTATCATAGCCAGCAATCACACCAACACCGGCAATTGCACGGACGATGTTTGCACCAGCACCCTTAAACAGAAACTTAGCAACCTCATTCTTAAGGATCTGAGAGAATGCATCAAGTGAGCTCTTGTACTTGACAGCTTCACCAGATGTCATCATCATTCTTCTACAGAAAAATGCTCAAATATGAGAGAAAAAAACACTAGAAAAGAGAGGATATGAAACCAACAGATGTAGCAAATCCCTGATAAGCTTAACCATTAAAATTCATGCACTTAAGAAAAGTAAACCAACTAGTATGTCACATACTCATAAGAATAGATTGGGATTAAAATAGGAACAATTAGCAAGGAAATGGTGTTTGAGGAAAAAAATCAATTTAGTCTTTTGATGAGATCAATGTTTAATCTATAAAATTACGTAAATGTAAATAATATGTAAAATGATCCATGAGGACAGATTGAGAGTAAAGTTTTGACTAATGATTAGTCTTAACTCATCATAGAGATCTTAATCCAAGCTGCTTGTCCACCAAAAGCACCAAATTTAGTATACTATGAATGCACAGATTCTGGTCTGCAATGAAATTGAAACCATGCTGCATCCCTTAAAAGTTAAAAGCTACTCCTACCAATTCAAACCAAACCAACTGCCAAAGGCTTGAATAGAAAATTTATATAGTTTTCATTCAAGATAACAACTTGTTTGTTCAAAGAAAAGATCTCATGTTTATTTGATCTGAAAAATAACCCAATAAATTTCAAAAAGAAAAATAACCCAATAAATCAACCTCCCTATTATAATTAGATGTAAATGACACCAGAAAAAGACACAACTGGAAATCATGAAACAGTTAATAACCCTCCATCCAAGTGAAACACAAAACATATATATCAGTTTCAATCAGACCCCAGAACCAACAGAAGACATACACAATAAAAATACTTAAAAATAACCAAACAAATACATTATACAGGTAAAAAGATGTATATCAGACTAAAAACTGACTGAACTGTAAAAGAGGCCTGAAATAGGTTTACAAGAAGAAGAAACAAGAGTTCAAATACAAGAGCAAAATGTAAGCCGAAATGAAAACAGCACACCCATTAAACCCAAAGAAAAAAAAAAAAAAACTTATCAGTGAAACAATCCCACATTACATAATGATGTAAATGGCAGAGAAAAGCTAGCAGCTTTCTAAGGAAAATGAAATACAAGAAAAGAAAGAAAGAGATAAAAAGCCAACCTTGAAATGTGGAAAGAGTAAGACAAGAGAGAACTACGGAAGGGAAAATGAAATGGAGGAGTTTGGACACAGACTTTTATGTAGACAGAGCTGTTGGTTATGGTTTACGAAGGCTTACTAGATAGAACGATGGGAAGCTTTTATATGTGTGTTGAAGAAGTGCAATTGGCATAGCCTTTTAATGAGAATGTACTTTCCTTAAATACTTTGATTATCATTTTTCAAAAGAATATTTGATTTTTTTTTCTATATTTGAAATTGTCCAAATCAAATTATTTATTATAGCATAGAATTATGATGAAATTTAAAATCTTCAATTCATATACTTTTAATATGATGCAATTATGATTTAACTATGGTATTTTTTTATTAATGAAAAGAGTGAATATATTTACTTATTATCTACACAAATACTTGCATACTAGGAACCATGAAGTTTTTTTTTTTTTTTTTTTTAATTTTATTGAAAGAACAATGAAAGTTTATGGAATGAAATAAAGTAAAAAAACAATAAATTTAAATATGTATCTAAATGCTAAATATGATCTCTTAAGTCTTAATCAAAGTGAAATCATTTTATTTTGGATTTATTTCATTATTTTGATTGTTTACTTGGGATATTGTTTAATGCTTGTCTTTAACCATTAAATTCTTTCAAATTCTTTTTCAAGTAATAGTGTCAAATTTGTCTTTTAGGATATTTGATCTCATAAAATGTAAAAATTCAAATGGTATGAAAAGTTCTTTGTAAAAAAAAAAAAAACTTTATGATGTGGAAGTTGTTCTTATAATTACAATAACAATTAATGATAAAAAAATAAATACAAAGAAGTCTCTTTTAAATTGCTGTAAGGTGTCAAGTTGAATATCCAATCTAAAATTTATGGTGAAATTTTCGTGTACATTCATGGAATATTTGGTCTTTTATTTTGTAAGGAAAACTTGATTTAACCACTATTATCCTTATTTAGGGAACATTTCATCTATCATTATTTATATTGTAATCCTACAATTAATCAAGTACAATAAAAAATTATATAAGGATTTATCACTTAAAAACATGAATTTTAGCAAATTTTTTGATGGAACCAATACACTTTTGAAATACTTATAAGCTATATCCTTTCCCTATTTAATAGAAGACTCGAGACCTAAATCCTGATCTTTCCTTGAATCTCATTTATGTATATTTTAAAAATATATATACAAATGAACCTCCCCTTTATGATAGGAAAGGCATGTAAATAAAACGTTGATAAGAAAAACTTTTTTAATTGGATTAGGCAGCAGTTATATATAATAGAGGATTAATGTTAAGGATGATTTTTAAATTATAATAAAATATTTAATATGATTTTGAAATTTAAAAAATTTTTAACGTTTTATTTAAATTATAAATCTATTAATTAGTGTGATATTTGAAATTAGTTATATTAGAGTAAGTATCACATTAATTATTAAATTCATAATTCATGTATCATATCAAAAATTTTTAAAATTCAATTATCACATTAATATTTCATTATAATTTAAAAATAATTCATGATACTAATTTTATAATAAATTATTAACCCACAAGAGATTAATCTAGCTTATAAGGAGAAGAAGAGTTTCTTTTTCGTGTTACCGAGAGAATATACTCCTAAAACAATCCAAAAGAGGATTAAATTTAGACAAAATTTAAATACATATAAAAAAATAGATTATTAAGGAAAGTTGGCATTGAGCAATAAAATGGAATAATTTATATCTATATTGTATTGGGGGTGGGTCCATAGCTTTGCTTGGAATTTTATTTTATGATCCCTGATGAACAATTTTGACAAGCAATCGCAAGACGCAAAGCTGTTCACTTTATCTTCGGTTGGTATGCAATGTGAATGCTACAGCTTTCAAAACTCCTCTTTCTCATTTACAATTTTGCTTGCACATTTGGTTTTTTTTTTTTTTTTGTTGAATAGTTCAATTTGACAACTATTTCTCGTTTATAACTAAATAACCAAAAACTATTTTGACCATTATTTGCGCGCTTTTACTTTTCTTAAGGTTCCGGTCAACGGGTTAACTGATACATTTATATATTGGTTACGATTTTAGAATATTATTTGTAAGAATATTTTGTTCATTTAATGTTCGATTTTCATTAAATTCAAAAGGAGATTATGTACCCAAAGGAATGTATTAATTATAATTTTTTTTAATGAAATCATCCTAACCATATTAAAAGTAACATATTAATGAATCAAGTTTGGTCTAAGTGATGCCTTAGAATGTTTTAGATCCAATTTTGGGAATTTAATTATTGAATTAGATTCATTGAGAGTAGTGTGTAAAAAAAAAAAAAAAAGAAACTGGTGCTTGGCATCAAAAAGATCTTTTTATATCATGTGATTAATCAATGATTAACAGCAATTTTGTGGAAGAAAGAAAGAACAAAGAAGACAGAAGAAAAACCAGAGATGGGAAACAAGTAGAAAAAACAGCAGAAGAAATTTGAGAGAGAGAATAAGTTGTATCTTGATTAATAGGCCCCTAACAGTTTCTTCCTTTCTTTCCATTCTCTCCTATGGGAAAATAAGAAAACAGAAAGGAAATAAATTAATTTATAAATTTTCTATTGCTTGGAAATCCAATCCTTCCAAAAGTTAAAAAAAAAAAAACACTCATTTAACTAAATTAACAACTTTCATTTATAATTTTACTAAACTTTTTCCTTTTCCACTATTTTTCTTTCTTCCCTCCATTTTTCTATCTCAAAGAACTTTTTCACAGCAAAAGCACATCTTGCTCTTAACGTCAATCATCTTCAAGCAATATTTGGTACAGGGCACAACCATGTCTGCAGGCATGCATATACAGGAGACATTTTGTTGCACAAACATCAAAACATGTTTGACATTCCATGCACGCCTATTCCGGAGCATTTAAATGCAAACAAACAGGTAAAACAATCATAGTGTACACACAATTACTTAAGATTAATTATAGAAACCACTGTATAATAAATATGAGGAAAAGAAAAAAGAATTAACTGAGGCAAGTACAGATGCATGACGTGCTTTCTTTCTACCTTGGCTTCCAAGGACAATATTCTCGAAGGGAAATGACACAATGAAGTCCTCTTCAACAAGAATGGCTACAGGAGTTATTTGATGGTCTGTATATGAAGAGAAGATCAGGAAAGAAAGTATCAAGTTCGTTAGGAAAAACGAATGGGGAAAAAGATATAAAAGATATATTTGTTAATAATTAGATCTCAAACTACATTATCTCACAAGATTAATGCGCTCCTTTCTTATTTGCAAGGTAAAAAAAGTAAGCCTGCCTCGTATGCTTCAGCTATATAAGTCTTATAGCTGAATGGATTTAAATGTGATACGAGAGACAGCAGAAAACTGCCAACTCTTTGCATGAGCTATTGATGCCAGCCCATATCAATCTGATCTCTGCTTTGCAGCCTGTCAATGCCAAGTGAAGTGGGGTCTAAGGATGCATCAGACCTCCTGTAACCTACTTCCAATTCTCTTTGCCTCAGTTGCAATATCCTCTGCTCATTCTCAAGCCTCATCCTTTCATTCTCCAACCTTAAACTCTCTAGTTCTCGGTCTTTCTTGTTGCAGTACCTCAGCCATTTAAAACGTTGTTTTTCAAGATCAAAAGCTTCTGCCTGCAAGTTCACTCTTTCCTCCTGACGTTGCAGCATCTGTCTCTTAATCCATTCCTTTCGCTCCAATGACGACCTTGCTGGGTCTTGAAATATCCCAGCCATCTCCACCTTGAAACTATCCTTTCCAGCAGATTCTGACCAGAAATGGCCTTCCTCTGCACTTGCCTTCTTCCTTTCATGGAGCTCACCGATTCCTTCTTCCTCACAAACAGCATTATTATCATCTTCTTTGTCTATTTCATCATCATCCTCACTGTCATCATTTCCCTCATCTTCTTCCTCATCCGACCCATTGTTGTCTTTCAAGCATCTCTCAATAGGAATAGAACATCCCAGCAGATCAAGATCCTGGCAATTAGGTATCCTCTGTCCATTATGGTAAGCACACATTTCCTGGTAAAATAAATGTTTTGAACTCAATATTTTCTTTACGTCATCCTTTGCCTTAGCTGAGAGGTGAGGCATAGAGTCCATTAAAGAAGGGTTCTCAACCACTCTACAACTAGTTCCTCTCCCAAGAATATCATTCAATTTCTTATATCTCTTGTTCAAGTCATTAAATTTATCCTCACACTGTTGAGGTGAAACATGACAACCTTTACTAATCATTATCTTTGACACTGTTTTCCACTTGCCCTTCTTTTGCACAATCCCAGATTTTCTCTGAAGCCCCTCCACACCCTCAATCATACCATCATCACCCACACAAGCAACCACAGCTATTAGAAGCCTAACCACATTATCTGTCCATTTCATTCTCTGCCATGGTGATCTTTTCTTGCCTTTACCTCCATTGGAGTTCTCACCATTTCCATCTTCATTGTAACTTGGCTCATCTTCTTCACTCATGCTTCCATTAGTCATAGTAATAATGGGACTAACTTCTGCCCCTTTACCAAAATTCATTGAACAGCCTTTAGGGTTAGTGCCTTTTGCCTCCATTAATCCAATGGAACGGTGCTCATTTTCAAGGCCAGTCGTCATGATCATATGATTGTGTGGCATCATGGAAGGTTGACCTAACTGGGACTGGTGCTGTCTGTGAACGGATGACTCAAGGTCAAACAACCTTCCATCAGGACCAGACAAAAAACCACCTCCCAAACCCGAATTATCCATCAACTCCACAGTCCAAACCCCCTAATGTACCGTTTTCTTGCAGGGAAAACACACGAAAGCAAAGTTAAATTTTCAATATTTATCAAGTACTTGAACTCTCATAAAACAGAAAACCAACTTCACTGAACCCGATTCAACTAGTTATATTCAGTCAGACCAAGTTTATATCCCCACTGATAGAAACAAAACAACCAGAGAAAACCCATAAACCTCTAAAATTTTTTACATTTCCCTCTTCATCTTGCTAACCAAACAAAAGGGAGATTGAGAAACAAGGAAAACAACTGAATCCACTAACAAGAGTATGTGCAACCCCCAAATCCAATCACAACCCAAATTCAGTAAAGACCCATAAAATCAATTAAAACCCTCAACACGATCCAAAAAGAGAGATTTTTAAACCTTCTTGTACTGTTTGACGATCACTTGAATAATAATGGGCAAGCTAAGAAAATTGAACAAATGGTTTTAATCATTGTACCGAAGAAGAGGAATTCAGGATTACCTTTTTTGAATGATCAACAATGGAGAAATTCCTCGAAAAGTAACAGTTTTTTTTTTTTTTTTGCCTGAAAGCTGGGGAGTAAGTTGAAAGAGTACAGAGGATGGGAATTTGGTATTTTTAGTCGAATAAACTTTCTTTATTTATAAATTGAGACATATCTTATGAGATATGTTTCAAATATACGCGTAGCTTAGTAGTATTATAGTTTGAAAAAAATAGCTTTTACGTTCAAAAATCGTTAAATAACAAAAAAAATGATTTTTTAGTTTAAAATTTTAATTTGTTAATTTAGATCACAAGCTCTTTAAAATGTATTTTTATGATTAAAAAAATATATTTAAAATAAAAAAATTATATATTATTCACTTATTAATAAAACCAAATTAAACCAACAAAATTTATTGATATAATATTAAATTTTTAATCTTAATGATTATGCATTCAGTCTAATATCTATTAAAAAAAATAACAGTGTGATAGATTTTCATGAGAAAGGAATAGGGCTGCAATTTGAGTTGGGCAAACTCAAAATCTAACCTGATTAATATTAATTGGTTTGGATTAAAGGTATAAATGATTTATTTATATTCATAAGTTATTTGAATTTGTTTTAAATAAAATTTAAATTTAACTTAATTATTTTTTAATCGAATTTGAATTCAAGTAATTTGATTTATCAAGTAAATAAAATTTGAATAATTTGATATTTGAATCGAATAGTTCATGAATCTAATCGAATTAATATATATTTATTATTTTAAATAAAAAATTATTATTTTATATAATTTATTAATTTAAATTCAAATTAAAAATCGATTATGAAAATCAAATTTATTTTTTATTTAGTATATAAGATTAATTAAGTAAATTCTAATATATTTTTTTTCGAGTCAAACTTAAATTTAAAATTTAATCTAATTTGAATTGAGTTTCAAATAAAGAATTTCAAATCAAACTGATTTCTTTTTCATACCAACTCAATTCGGATTACACTTTAGTTCAAATAGAATAAGAGCTCAACTGGGATAGAGTGTCATGTTGCATTTCACAAATACAAATGTAAATGAATATTAATCTTAAATCTTTTGGAGATGGTATTTTATTTGCTTATGGACAAAATTAGCATACCAAATATGAAAGAAGTCATTGACTCACGTAGATGATGTTTCAAAATCAAGCTCTAAAGTCTAAACCATGAGAAATGTAGCACAATCTTTGAACATTGCTTACTCATTGGATCAATCCATTGGAGAGGGATCCATGTAGATGTCCATTAAATTACAAACATTTTCATTTTTTTATAATTTTCAGTAATTTGACAACCTATTATAATTAAATTATGAATTCTTGTATATTGACATAATAATTTTTAATGACGTATCAAAACTTAATTTTTTGAATTTATAACTAATTAGTTTATTACTTATACAATGCACGGATTATCTTACTTTATTAATTTGCTTTTAATTATTTTTTAATCAATTATTTTTCAATTGTAATTGAAGCCCTTTTTATAGGAGATTTAGTTTGTAATGTAGCAAGTTAAAAATTACTTATCATTTAATATAGTTATTTGTTATCTATTTAATAAGATAAACATAAATAATTTATGTGTAAAAAAATTTATCTTCATGATGACATGTAAGATAATTTTTAATTTTATGTTATTTGTCAAATAAATATATTTAAAAAATTATTAGTTATTCAAATTTTTAAAATTTATAAGAAAGATAAAATCATATATATCTAATTGTTTATGCTTGAAATTAATTTATAGTTAAAATACAATAGAAAAAATTTTATAAATCATGGTTAATTATAATGTTATTTCAAAAATCACAAATTATTTTTTTAATTTCAATTTTTTTCTCTTGCCAAATAAGCTCATACACTTTAAGTATAATAATATTATTTGTCATATGAAAAATATATAATTTTATATCAATTAAATCTTAAAAAGAAAAAAAAAGCAAATGGATTGTAATTGAATATAATTTTTAACTTTATTAGAAAATAAATCTATTTGTTAATTAGATTATGTATCAAATTTATGATTTTATACATAATTTTTTAAGCATGGATTCAAAATATTATTATATTAAAAAGTTATTTAATTTTAAATTTAAAATATATTTAATATTATAAAATTTTAATAATAAATATTAATTGAATAGGCGATTTAAGTTACACTTGAAACAAAATCTAAAATTTAGAAATTTTTATAATTGGATACCACCAAAGTCATGGACACTTCTTAATTTTTTAAATTCATATTTTTTTTAAAATTATGTATAAGAAAATATCAAGTACTTACTAAATTTGATTTGATTTGAAAAATAAAAAAACTTGAAATCAAATTGGATTTCAATTTATTCTAATTTTTTTTTATAAATAAAAGAGTGTTATGACTTTGAAAAGGAGAAGTATAGCAAATTATACATTTTTATACAAAATCATGAGTTGATTATATTATATTATATATATATATAAAGTATTATTTCAAAATCCAATTAGTTCTTATTTTTTAGAACAATATTTTGATATAAATAGTAGGTTCAAATCAGTATAATCAAACTGACTATTAATAAAAGTATTTTTGCATATTGTAAGAAAGTTGAATTAAGAGAAAAAAAATATTATCTGATTGAATGAAAAGTTAAATATAAAGAAAAAAGGCTTATAGATAGTTTCTACAAAATAAAAAAAAAAATAAATATTTTTTGTAACTTTGTACATTATAATATATAAAATAAAAGAAAACCAATTGAAAAAAAAAATAACTAATTGAGTGAATAATCAAAAGTACAAAGAAAATATTTATAGACAGTACCTACAAAATATAAAAATATGTGTTTATATAACTTTATATCTAGTAATATATATATATATATATATATATAAAGTCAAAGTTAAAAATTGTGGGCTTATCATGAGTATCTAAAAAAGAAAAAAAAATGCTTCTATAATTTCTATTTTTTAATATAAAAAAAATGAGGTAACACAAAAATGGAGAACAATGACAAAAAAAAAAAAATCAAATTGATGTTAAGGAATGATATTAAACAATCATTTTTAAATTATTAAGAGATTAAATTTGATCCTTTTAAATTAAAAAAAAGATTATTGTGATATCTATTAAGATAAAATTATATTTGATATTTTTAAAATTTAAGATATATATACAAAATTAATTTTAAAAAATAAAAATATATTATTGTCCTAATTGAAAATGATAGGTGAAGTTTTTTATATTATATCGGCAAACTTTACAATTATTAATACTATGAATTTAATTGTAAAGACAACAAAAATATAAGCATTCCAAAATATAGCACTAATTATAGATTAAGTATTTTTTCACTCGTTATTTGACCATTTAGGATTAATCTCATGTTCAGACCCATATGTATAACTAATTATTAGAAAATTAATTTTTAAAAATAAAAAGATATATTTGAAGGTGTATTTGACAAATAAAGATGATTTTTTTTAGTAAAAACGCTTTAAATAATTAAAAAATTTTAAATAAATATATCTTAAAAAGATTTGGATAACCAATAATTTTTTAAATACATTTATTTAATCTATAAATAAAAAATAAGAATTAATTTTACTTATTTAAATAAAATCTTACCAAAATAAAAAATGATAATTTTATCCCTTTAATTATTTTAAATCTAAATTGATTTTTCATTTAAATTTTAAAAGTTTTGGATAATTAAATAAATTTTGAAATAAATTTTTTTGATGAAGAATCTAAAATTAAAAAATATCTTATATATCATTATAAAAAGAAATTTTAACAATTTTCTTATGTGTCAAAAAAAAAAATTATCCATGTAAGTATCCATATCAACAAATCTTATTTGATAACTATGTATATTGTAATATATATATATATATATATATATAAAGAAATTTTAGCAATTTTCTTTTGTGTCAAAAAAAAAATTGTCCATGCAAGTATCCATATCAACAAATCTTATCTTATAACTATGTATATTGTAATATATATATATATATATATAAATTAGATGTAATAGGAAGTAAAGGAGACCAAGCTCAACCTGTTCTAAATTGGGCTTGGATTTAGATTTTTAACCTTGAAAATAGTGATTCTATATTGTTCTTGATAAAGGGAAGAGAGGAGAGACAGATAAGGAGCCTTGTGCTTCTTGGTCATTCTTCTTTGCTACCCAAGTTATCAAGTACTAAGAATGAAGATAGATTTCTAAATGCTTCTGGACTCACATCTGCTGAAATGCTTGAAACTTTAAGCGGTACTATGCATTAGTGATTATTTAAGCATTCTAAAGAAAAAGGGCATGAAACAGTCCATGACATCTAATAGAGTTTTACATCCATAAATCTTTTTAGGTAAGCCAATCTTCTCATTGGAAATGATCCAGTTTCCCCAACAACGAACTTTACAATTCTAGTTATACAAGACATATAACTAAATGGTATTCCAAAAGTACACAATTTTGGAGAACATGTGAAGTTAAATTTAATTGCAAGAAAATCTTTAGCAGTAACATCAACCTGTTCAGAAGCCGGGATCTGGTAAGGACCTTCTACATTTGAATATGGGAACAGTAGGACATTATACGGTTACATATGAATTACCGATATATCCCATCATGTAGATTTGGAGCAATGAGTTTGTCCTTTTGTATCTTGAACTACCAATGGCTTCCTATAAGACTGCAACATGAGAGAGGAACAAACTACGCTAAGAGAGGAGGCAGCCATGCATGCACCAGCTAGCCATGGTGGTAACCGAATTCCAGTGAAGGGATATAAGATTCCAGAAGCAACTGGCACACCAAGTATGTTATAGCCAAGGGCCCACACATAGTTAAGCCAAATGCGGGAAATGGTCTTCTTGGACAGGTCTATTGCTGTAACTACATCTTCCAAGTTGCTTTTGATAAGAACTACATCGGCTGCTTCTATAGCTACATCAGTACCTGCACCAATTGCCATGCCTACATCAGCTGCGACTAAAGCAGGTGAGTCATTTATTCCATCTCCCACCATAGCAACAGTCAAACCTTTCATCTGCATCTCATATTCAAGAAAAAACATTTAATCAGATGCTGCATACAGAATCAAGCCATGTAAAAAAGAGAAAAAGAAAGAAGTTCACCTGCAAATCTTTGATCCTACCAGCTTTTCCCACTGGATCTGTCTCAGCAACCACATTCTCTATTCCAACCTCCTTTGCTATGGCAGTTGCAGTAGCCCAGTTATCACCAGTTACCATGATGCTTGAGATGCCCATTGAGCGAAGATATGATATGACATGCTTAGCTTCTGGCTTCACTGGATCAGTTACTGCAAAAGCTCCAGCAACCTTTCCATCAATGGCAACTAAGACACATGTTTGAGCCAGTTGCTCGTTTTCTGAAATATAGCCCTCAATTTCGGGACCAACTGTGACATTATAAGTCCGCATAAGCCTCTTGTTCCCAACCAAGACCATTTTTTCACCAACTTTTCCACTCACCCCAGTGCCAGGGTGCACCTCAAAGTCCCTTGCCTCTGTTAGGTGTTGGTTGTTGGGTTGATTGTTAGGTTCTATCTTCTGATGCAACTTTCTAGCATAATCCAGGAAAGCTTTGGCTATAGGGTGTTCACTGTTTGCCTGAAAATTTAATGATAAAATGCTCAAGAAGTTAGCTTAAGTCATTCAGTGGCAATAAACAATGTTGCACCTTTCAAGAAGTCATGGCGAAAATTTAATCTAATATATTGAATTGCATATTCATTCAAAATAAGCTTTGATTTAATCTTTCCACTTCCTTGAAACCAAAAATAACAAAATAAGTTCCAGCTGTACAATTAGGGCTCTCCAAATTTCTCACCAAGCTTTTTGTGTATCTGTTCTCGTAGCAACTTCACTAAATACAATCAGAAGAGAACAGAAAATAGACATGTACCTCCGCAGCAATAGCCACATTGCAGAAGTCTCCCATGGACATACTTGAAAAGAGCATAACACTTACAACCTCCGGTTTCCCAACTGTCAACGTCCCTGTCTTATCAAACACAATTGCTTTGACCTATAGGATACAGGGGAAAAGGTAGTTCAGGTCACAACAGTCATCTGCAAGGGAACTTGTGACATAAATGACACAAGTTCCAGGACTTATATTTGCCTTGTATTATTGTTAGACTCATAACCATAAGGAAATAAAAAATACTTCTGAACAAGGCATCTTTTATTGTGATAAAAATGACAATGTGATAGAAGTGTATTGATGCTGATAAGGTTATTTCAAATTAACAAGAAGTGATCTTCAACTACAAAAAACAAATCATAGAAATTAAAATGAAAAGGGTGATGCTGTTTTGAAGATATTTACATTTTTAGCAAATGGTGAGTTAATATACTTTGGTAAGTAATAAATGCTATTTTCCTCAGCAAAACCAATATCTTGGAACGAACCTATAGTAGATAACTTTCAAAAATGATTTGTCACTCAACTTTGTAATGTCAAGGATTTGCAATTCTTGTAATAGCAGTGTTGAGTTTTGATTTTGGTTTATGTGATTTCAACCAAGTATAATTATCAATAGAGACAAACTTTGCAGGAAGTGATATAGCAAGTTGCCAATGATTGCTCAATCATGATTGTGAAACTCATATATACTGAATTATCAACTCAACTTCAATCCTGCTCTATTCTAGCTGTTTCCAAAGAAAAATGGTTTTACCTTGTGTGCCTTCTCAAGTGCATTTCCACCCTTAATAAGCACACCGAGTGAAGCACCCTTCCCAGTGGCAACCATGACTGCTGTAGGGGTTGCTAGTCCTAAAGCGCATGGGCAAGCAACCACCAGCACTGAAATACCAAATTGCAGTGCAAGTTCAAATTTATCCATGCCTTCCGGAATCCAATTTTTAGGGTAAATACCAATAACTCCAGGTATCAACCATCCCAACCAAGTAATGAATGCAGTGAGAACAATCTGATATTGGACCAAAAACAACATGATACATTTCGTCAGCAATTAGAATAGAACATTATGTAACAAATAGAACAGTTAGAATCACATAAGAACTTGCATGATGAACAAGTTCTATACTCTTTCAGCCCACTTTAATAAATGCAAATGGAGTAAGGGAAAAATTGGGCAGTAAAACGAAAAGCACATATACAGCACAACTTGTGAGTCTCAACTATTAGAAACAAAGAAAAAATATTTTAAAAATAGGAAAAAGGTTGCTCTTTCCTAACCATGATGTACCTGTCAAATTCATTTTGCCATGTTGGCCTCATTTTCAAGCCGTATGAATGCAGTTGTGTGTCATATAGAAAACATGTCATCATAAATACGACCATCAGTAATGTCAGTCCCTACTTCTTGTCACATACAGAGTAATTATGAATTCAGCATATTTTTTCTGAGATCATTTCACTATTATACAACAGTAAGCAGCGTATGAAATTTCTTGTTTGGAACTCAAGCATTTGAAAAACAAAATGAGCAGCTCCTTCTTTGAATTAATCTCTAAAGTCCATAAAAGTGCACAAATGAATAAAATTCTACCACAAAAAGTACTAAAGAGTTTTTTCTTTGATTTTTTTTTCTAATGCTGCAGAATATATAATTTATAACTTTGGCTTAATCTAGTAGATCAATTAAAGGTTCAAATGAATAAAACATGTGACAAACAAGTCAACTGTCTACAATTATCTTTAACAAAGCTCCAGACCAAAAACAAAATTTTTCATGTTATAGAATTCAGGGCCTCCAAACTCCAGCTGACAACCCTACATAAAGAACTGGATGGTTAAAGCAATTTGATACATTCCAAGTTGCAAACAACAATTTGAAAGTTTTTAAAGTTTTGAAAGGAAAAATGAAGAAAATAAACCTTTCAACTAAAGAAAAAGAAATGAAGTTGATCAGCTTTATGAAAAAGAAATAAAAATGATATAAACAAAATTTGAGGAAGGAAACAGAAACTTACTGCAGGAACAAAAAAACGAGAAATCTGGTCAGCAATTTTCTGAACCGGTGCTCTGGAAAGCTGAGCTGCTTCAACAAGCTGAACAATTTGAGAAAGTGCAGTCTCTGACCCAACATGAGTGGCCTTGACCAGTAAACATCCGTTCTCATTCATAGTTCCACTAATAACCTACTCATGATAATTCAATTAAAAAATGCAGAATTTTATACAGTTTGGTACACATTAAAAAAAAAAGAGGCAAAAAAAAAAAAACCTTGTCACCAGGCTTTTTAGCAATAGGCTGTGCCTCCCCTGTGATCATACTCTCATTCACATAGCTTTGACCATCAGTGATAATGCCATCAACGGGAACCTTCTCCCCAGGAATGATCTTGATTATATCATTCCTTTGTATTAGTTGGGTGCTGATTTCCACCTCTGAGACAACATTTCCATCATCATCTAATGTTAGCAAACGAGCACTATCAGGAGCAAGGTCTGTCAGCTTGGCTAAAGCATCTGATGTTTTCCCTTTAGCCACCACCTCTAAATACTTTCCTAATAGAATAAAGGATATCAACATTGCACTTGTCTCAAAAAAATCTTGCCCTTCGAATGTGTCTGAGCTCAGATCTTTAATTGCTATATAAACAGAGTAAAAATATGCAGCATTGGTGCCCATGGCAACTAAAACATCCATGTTAGCAGATTTTCGTCTCAATGCATGGTATGATCCAGTATAAAACCTGACAGAGACATCAAGAGACAAAGAATTATTATGCTGCAAGAATGGTTTATAATCAGTATATGCTAATTCTATGGAATGGAAATGCTAAAACTTTGACAAAAAGACCAATAACACAAGAAGTAGCTAATATTGTACCCGGAAAAATGAAAAGCAACTCATTACCTTCGACCAACAATGAACTGTACTGGTGTGCAAAGAATCCATCTCAGAAGCAACCCAACAGTAAACATGTTGCAGATCTTGTATTCTAACCAATTTCCAAAAGGAGGAAGCATTGGAAGTACCATGGAGAATATAAATACTGGAACTGAGAATAGGCAACTTAAAAGGAACTGATCTCTATACGTATTAATTTCATGCTGCTGCTCAGTCTCTCTTTGTTTAGGGGGTATATACAAGCTTGCCTTGTATGATCCATGACCAACTTCTTGTACACCTTTAATGAGAGATCTTGGACCAGTAAGGTCTGGGTCATAGTTGACAGTGACCTTATTTTCTTCCAAGTCCATTTCAACGTGATTTACACCTATAGCCGACTCAAGGTAGGATTGAATAGTGTTTATCTCCTCCTTTGAGGACACTCCCTCAAGTTTTAGATGTACTTTGTTTACTTCATTTCCAGAACTGATGAGATCAGCTCCAAAGCCAGTATCTTCTATTGCTTCAACAATACGAACAGCATCGGTAACATTGGGATCAAAGTGAACCTTAGCTTCTTCAAGAGCTAGACCAACCACTGCTTTTTTAACTCCATCCACTGACTTTAGAGCACGTTCAAGGGACTCAGAACAGCTTGTACACGCCATTCCCTTAATCCTGAGCCGGCAGACTGCTATCTCTTGCCTTGAACACTCACTAACGGGGAAACCAGCATCCTCTATTGTCTCTTTAATCATTTTTGTCTAAAATAAATTACACAGAAATGCTTTGAATTCCCAATTGTATAAATATATAAACTAATTATAATGAAAACAACAAAGCAATACCAAAACACAAATTAATTTTACATTTTAAGACAATGAAGATAAACATGACAGAGTTACATTAAACTCTGCATAGTGTTCAAGGCCATAAGAGAAAGATAGTTTAAGAACCGATGATTCAGCACTATAATGTTACCAAACAACTTTTGTTTGTGTGTCAGTGGTGCCATGGTGGTTTGGAACCAATCAGCAAATAGTTTTACCAAACACACATAGAGTAGGATTAGACAACTCCATCACAAACTCTCTTCTACATAAATCTTAACTTAAGTTTCAAATATTCCCTCCCTTCCCTTGTCATTTCAGCACCTTAATAGAAAACACCAAAAGAAAGGTACAGGCAAAGAGAATGATTATGATCCAGAGTTTGTATCACAAATTAAAGCATAGGTCTTGCTAAAGGATACATTTATTAGCAAGAGGAGAGACAAAAAGCTCAGAATAGTATGTTAAGAAACAAAAATGCAAGCAAAATTATAATACAATAGCTACAAGAAATTACAAGAAAACAATAATACATTGGAAAAGAGGAAAGCAAAAGAATTAAACACTACAGAACCCTGTAGTAAAGTAGCTAGAGTGATCATAAATCATTCTCCGCATAAAGAGGATAAAGATTCACAGAATTTCTTAAAACTTACATTGATTAGCTTTGGATCATATTCAATTGCCGCTTGACCTTGAATTGGTGACACTGAGACACTCTCAACCCCCTTGACCTGTCCAAGTACAGATTCTATGGAAGTTACACAAGATGCACACTTGATATTCCCAATTCTGAACATCACTGTTTTCTTCTTATCCAACTTATCAACAGGTTCAGGTATAGTTATAAAAATACTATCTGGGGGCTCCAGCAAAGGCCTCTTAAGATCATCCGTCCCATTCAGTTCCATTTTCTTGTCTTGAACATTAGCATTCATGGCTTCTGCAAAAACACAGTAAGCAAAACATTAAAAAAAAAAGTTTGGATTTTGTATCAGTAATAAAACAGTTTTTAATGCAAAACTTCGAAACCTTAAAAAAAAAGTTTAGCGAAAGATAGGAGCAAAACATTTTCTTTTCAAGGTTACATATAATTAAACAAAAAAGAAACAACAAAATCAGGGCTAAATCATGGCTTTAAAACAACTGTAGATATCAGATAGCCAAAAGAAAAAAAAACTGAATTGAAGTATTAAATAATTACATAATTACAAAAACAAAGCACATAAAAACAGCCGCCAACACTTTGTACTAATCAAACCTGATGAAACTTGGTTAGAATTATAATTTATCAAACATAAAACTTAAAAAAGAAAAACAAAACCTAAAGTGCACAGCTTTCATAAAAACAAAACAAACCCAGAAGAGAAATTCACAATTCAAATGAAAACGAATCTTTTTGCTTCAAAAAAGATCATCGAAGTTGGGTCAACCCAGAATATGGAGCAATAAACAAAGAACAGAACCTTCAAAAAAGAAACACAGAAGTTTAAACAAACAAAAGAACTAAAACCCATAGTCCAAACAGCAAAAACAAACACACACACATATATTAAAACATCAAAGAGACCTTTTCTTCAGGGCAGTTTAGGGTTGTATTATTTTGATTGGGGAAAAAGATAGAGTAAAGTGCGCAATTTTTTTATTTTTCTATGATAAAAGAGGGGAATTCAATTATGGTTTTCGAATCAGAATCAAGATTTATGAAAGTGGATTATATTTGCTAGGGATCTTGGAAGGGAAGGGAAAGGGAAAGGGCATTGGAAACGACGGTTGTGGTAGAGAGAGAATAACAGAAAAAGAAAACAGAGAAGTGGCAGAATTGGCTTTTGGGGGGAGGGTTTGACTTTGTGTAGATATATATATAGAGGTGGCGACCCTTTTGAATTTTTAAACCTAACGTCTTATATGTCGTTCCCACCGCCTTGTTTAATAATTTACCCTCGCTATTCGCCACCCATTTACTATTTTTTATGTAGTTATGTTTATTAACCCGCCGAAACGCACCCCTTGTTTAATCACCCCTTGTTTAATCACGCTCCTCGACTATTAGATAAGTTGCTTCAACCTTCAGATTAAAGCATACGGTTATATTTTCAAATTTTGATTAATTAATTTATATAATTATCTTTAAATAATAATAGTTATTAAATTTGAATTCAAAATTTGTATTAACAATTTATTTTTTATTTTTATATTATAATTTTTTTAATAAAAAAAAGCATATATTTTAATGTTGAATAAAATATTAGAATCAATTATCTTTCTAAATAATAACATTAACATAAATTATTAATAAATTTGAAGCTTGAATTGATTTTAATGTTGGATAAAGCTTGAATTGATTAATATAATTTTTTTAAAAAACTGATTTTAAGTAAATTTCAAATTTAATTCTCAACAATCACAATTCTTTTTTATTTTCAAGCTGTGATTCAAATTTGAATCTGGAATCATTTATTGTTAAGAAGAACAATGGTGAAAATTGAGACAATTTATTATTATAATACATTAGTATCATGTATATATAAACTTTTTCATTCTTTTTTTTTTTTTTCAATTTTCTTTATTATGGTATATTGGAAACAAATACAATGAATCAATGTTAAAATGTGGCTTGATGGTTGGCTGTGTTAATAAGAAATTGTATCTTGTATGTCTCGTATATTCATCTGAACATGTCATCAAATTACAAATATGCCATTCTTTCTATTATTGGATCGTTTGGTTCTCTTGGATTTCTTGAAGTTGGAAGATTTGATGCATCATGTTGAATGCACTTTTTAGTTAGAAAAATAAATAATTAAATCTTTATATTTGGAAATGTCATGATCTTTGCTTGAAAAATCTAGAGATCCGTACTTTTCGACTGGTTATCTGATATTTTGTAAATAATTTTTGTTGAAAAAAAAACCTGGCAAATTTAAGAGAATTGGATTTCATTTCATTACTGATTTGCTTCCAACTAACATCTTTTTTCGGTTGAGATTGAGAAATAGATTTGTATTTTGAAGGTTGAAGGCTTAGAAAATCACATTTTAATTGAGTGAATTATGATAGTCATTAAGGCTTATCTTAAGAGAGTGTTTGGTGTGGGATGATTTGTTTAAAAATCACGATAATTTACACTCTGTAATTATATCATTTTGTTTGATAGTAATTTAGAAATATTACATAACAATAATCTCGAATCACTAGAGTGATAAGATCACTATTTTGAGGAGTAATCCGATAACCTAAAGGATGAAATAATTTTATTACCATGGCAAAGTAAATTTTAATATTATTTTTTGATTAATTTACTCTTATGAAAAATATAATTAATATTATCCTAAGAAGCTAGTCACTAAAAATTTTAAAAAATCGATTTTTTAATCACTTATTCTAAAAATAATTTTATGTTATAAATTTATATTGATTAGATAAAGATAATAAATTTATTTAATATTTTTTAAAAAATTATTTTTATCCAAATTGATTTATACTTTATAATTTTTTATAAAATAACGTTTAATTATTTTATAAATTGTTGATTCAATAAGTATTAAATATATTTTTGAAGGTTATTTTGGATCTTATGTATTATATGATTTATTTTTTCATACAATATTAAATACAATGATTTAAAAGTACTAATGATCTATAATATTATATCAAACATGATAATTTTAAGATCATTGGTGATCAAATCACCTTAGTAATTTTATCATTATAATAATTAAATCGTCATGATAATTTTGAAAATGATATCAAATACTACCTAAAAGAATTCATCTTACCTTTCAAACTAAAAATTTCAAGTTCAAATGCTCTTATCAACTATTATAAAAATTAATGATAAATATTGCATATAAAATGTACTAGACAATAATCCTGTCACTATAGCAAAATGGCGTATTAGCGATAGTTTTGTAACGGCCTTTCACTTACAAATGCTGCTAGCTTTCGTGTTTTTATAAAACTTCAGGCATTTATTATCCAAATGTCATTAAATATTCAAATAGAGGTGTTGTTATTTATAAACGCCACGCAAGACTTGATATTAGAGGCGTTTCTGGACTAAAATGCCTTAAATTTTTTTTATTAAAAATTTCAGTGAATAGTTAAGGCATATTTTTAGCAGACAATGCCTTCAATAATCATGTCATAAAAAATTGTATGAGATTAATGAAGGCGTTATCTACAAGAAATGCCTTTAATATTTGGACCAAAATATTCTACAGGCTTATTGAATTTATTTTGTTCAAAAATACATTTAATATTAAGCTTATCAAATTTTTTGGATCGTACGGATGTTACCATAAAGTTGTTGGTTCGATTCATCCTGTAGCCTTTTTTTGGGTTTTTGCACATATTATTTGTTATTGATTATTCTAGGCGTTTTCTTGGCAAAAATGCTTTCACCAATTATTTTAAAAAAATTTTCATAGAATATTGAAGGCATTTTTCTTAGAGAGACGCCCTTAATAATCCATAAGAAAAATATGGAGTCGATTCTTAAAGGCGTTTTTGGCCAAACTCGCATTCTATAATCCAATCAGTAAACTTTTTTTGGTGATTTTTAAAGGCGGTTTTGTAAAAAACGCCTTCAATATTCCATAGACAAAACTTGGATGAGATGCTTGAAGGCGTTTTTGGCTCAAAAAAGCCTTTAATATTCCCAACGATAAATTTTAATGGTCGGATTATTGAAGGCGACTATATCCAAAAATCCCTTCATAAACATTTTGTTAGGGATTATTGAAGGCGTTACCATAGGAAAAGGCCCTTCATAATCCATTCGATTAATTTTTAATTGGTATTATTGAAGGAGTTTTTTGCCCAAAATGCCTTTAATATTTCACACAATAATTTCCTGGGAGGATTATTAAAGGCGATTTTGGTAAAAAAACGCCTTCAATATTCTCTGTTAGAGGTGATTGAAGGCGTTTTCTTACTAAAAATGCCTTTATTAATCGCATCAAAAAAACATATTTTATACTGTATATGTGAAGTCAGTTGTAAGTTTATGTCCAAAAAATGTTTGCTGTCAGTTGTATATTTATGCCCAAAAAATATTTGGTTTATATATCTGATACTATGAATTACATTTTGGAATTTACATAATGAACATTGTTGTATTTCAATAAATTGACCAAACATCTGAAATTAAAACTGATAACGTTGCCATATTAATATACTTTTATGAAATAATCATACTTAGTAATTTATTAAGTACACATAGTGCATTCATATTAAGTATAACAATAATATTAAACCAATACCCCCAATGTACAAACCTAAAGTTTCTATTCAACATGGCATGTTAAAAACATTGTAACAATTTGTTTCATATATATTTACATTCAACCAACAATGTATAACCTGAAGGTTTATCAACATTGATAAATGACAATACATAATCACACCATTATTTATGGACTTCATCAGCTCCTCTTCTGTGAAGCTTTCTTTACCCTCCCACTAAAAAAAATATCAGAAGTAAATGTTAAGAAATGAGAACATAATGTACCATTTTATTTTGAAGAATATATAACGAGTTTATGAAATTTATACTAACCTTGAATGGTGTGGTCATAAAATCATGTAACACTATCTCTCGCATAAAACAAAGGACATAATATCCACATTCAGTATTACTGGGTTGAGAGGTACTTGAAAATTAAATTGAGTCGGTTTAAAAAATATTTATCTACACAAACTCAGTATTAAAAGAATATATTTCACATTTACCGGTAATGACACCCATTTTGATTTCTTTATCTTTTTATTAAATACAGATATTACCCTAAATTGAAAAGAAAAAAATTAATGGGAACATAAATAAAATTACTTATGAAGAAACAGAACATATATAATATAATAAAGTACTATAATACCTCTTTATAAAAGTTTGAATATCAAGGTTAGACATCACTGTTGGAGTAACTGAATTAAGAAGGTATGGCATTAAGGATTTGGTGTCAATCACAATAAGCACCTAATGACGACTGTAAAATAATAATAATGATATACTCAGAATACGCATCAGATCATAGAATCGAGTAGGTTGGAGTAATTAAGGTTAGAATATAGCTTACTGCACATTATACTGGAGCAAATAATAATCAGTCGATCTTTTATGCATAGGATTACATGATTAGCATGATACACGACTGTGCCACTCTGCTCACTAATGAAGTTGGGGTCAATGAATCTAAATATGTTCGTCAATTGTCTTTCCTTCAGCTCTTTATATAGGAAGCTACACGATAACAATCAACACTGCTGGTTAGTAATACACCCTAATACTAACTTACTACATATTGAATGTGCATATTTGTATTTATAAGCTAACCTCATATAAGCAACGATTTCAGCAGCTAATAATTCATCCATTTCACAAAATTCTTTCACCTCATCCACACCAATGAAAGAAAATGATTGTTTATCAAATAAGTCTTCCTCAGACTCAATGGATATGAAGTTTTCGTCGGATAAATGCTCTAGCGAATAATTTGTTAACTCATCCATGAAAGCTTGGGCAAGGGTCATACTTTGAGTCTGAACATCCTCCTACAATATTTAATGAAATATAAGTATTAGAATCAAATCAATCAATAAATAAACAAATTAATATTCAAATTATAAATAATATCATACTTCTTGGGTGGTAGCGGATGATGGGATCGCTTTCTTAGGAGCAATGGAAGCTTCTCGTATGGGGATGATACTATCAGGCCGGGCTACTGGCATAACCTACTGCATTGCTGCCAATATGGACTCCAAAACAGCGATTGAGGCAATGCTCCTGGTCATTAATTTGTTGTTGTTGTTGCTCAATTATTGCTTCATATTATACATTTCTCATTCGTGGGGTTTTTGGT